CATTGCCTCTTCCCACCTGAGTCTTTCCTTGCTCTTTAGGGCTTCCTTGTAGTTGTTCGGTTCTGCTTCTTCTATCTCTTCGGCAACACTTAAAGCATATGAGATTATATCTGCATGGCCGTATCTATCTGGCGGTCTGATAGTTCTTCTTTGTTTGTCCCTTACCAAGCTGTAGTCATCAGATCTTCTTTCTGGCTCAATCACTTCCTGCTCCTCTGCCACTTCATCCTGATTGTTCACACACTCCTTTGATTTGTCAATGTTCGTTGTTGTTGCAGCTCCACGTCAATTGAAGAATCCTCCTTAGTGATGTTGTTTTTGGCAGCATGGCTATATAGATTCGCCATTTTGGACTCATTGAATGTCACATCTCTACTGATGATGAATTTTTGTTGATCTAGGCACCAGAGTTTGTAGCCCTTGGTTCCAGGTGGGTATCCAATGAAAATGCACTTCAAAGCCCTTGCTTCCAGCTTATCCTGTCTAACATAAGCATATGCAGTACATCCAAAAACTTTGAGATTATCATAGTTACCTGGTTTCCCGTACCACATCTCCGAAGGTGTCTTCATATCGATAGCAGTTGATGGGCATCTGTTGATAAGGTAGCAGGCAGTTGACACGGCTTCACCCCAGAAACTTTTGGGTAGACCTGCATTTAGCAGCATGCATCTCACTCTCTCTAGGAGAGTCCTGTTCATCCTCTCAGCCAGACCATTCTGTTGAGGAGTGTTCCGGACTGTCTTGTGTCTTGTGATGCCATTCCTCCTGCACAGCTCCTCGAACTGCTCTGAACAGTACTCTAAGCCATTGTCAGTTCTCAAGTGCTTCAGCTTGGTTTCCATCTTATTTTCTGTGACAGTTAGCCAGTCCCTGAACCTCTGAAAAGCTTCATCTTTTGATTTAAGGATGAAAACCCATACCTTCCTGGTATAGTCATCTATGATGGACATGAAGTATCTCCCTCCTCCATGTTTCTGAGTTCTGGCTGGCCCCCATAGATCGCTGTGAACATAGTCAAGGGGGTTCTTTGATGAGTGAGTTCCGGTAGAGAACTTCACCCTGGCGGCCTTCCCCAAAACGCATTGTTCACAGAATTCGAGTTTGCTGATTCGATCTCCACATAACAGACTCTGCTTGGACAGTTCATATAAGCCTCTTTCACTTACATGCCCCAGTCTCATGTGCCATAGTCTGGTCCTGTCAGGTTCTGATTGAACTGCATTTGAGAAGTTGCCGATCACGGTTCTTCCAACTAGTGAGTATAGTCCATTCTTTATAACTCCTTTCATGACTATGAGAGAACCTTTGGATACTCTGATGCAGCCATTCTCTGCCTCGAATGAGTATCCACTTGACTCCAGCGTACCTAGAGAGATCAGATTTCTTTTGAGTTCCGGGACATACCTGACGTGCTGCAGTATCCTTTCAGCTCCGTCGAACATCTTGATTCTGATTGTCCCGCTGAGTCAAGGATCCACTCCCTGCTAGATTCAGATTCTGTGATCGCCAGAGCTTCAGCTGAATCATAGCCATCTGAGGCTACGCTTGCCTCTCCAGAATCTCTGGGCTTCTCCTGAAAACTTTTCTTTCTATCCGGACAGTTCCTTCTAAAGTGACCTTCCTTGTGGCAGTGGTAACACTTGTTAGATCTCTTAGAAGACTGACTTCTGCCCTTCCTTCTGGACTTTGATCTGCTCTGATCACTTTTGAAGTCTTTCTTGCTCGATCTTCCTCTAACTGTCAGACTATCTCCACTGGTTTCCTCTTTCATGTCGTGCTTCTTCTGGAGTTCTTTAGCTTTAATAAGATATTGTACCTCCTCCAGAGTAATGGTCTGCGCCATTCCATAGAGCATCACATCCTTGAAATGCTCGTAGCTCTTGGGAATAGAGTTTAGCAACAGTAGTGCCTTGTCCTCATCGTCCATCTTGAGGTCGATGTTTTCGAGATGGTCGATGATCTTGTTGAACTCGTCAATCTGCTCTGAGACGGATTTGTCTTCATGTCTTCATGCATTTTGAAGGAGCTGCTTCAGAAAGAGTCTATTAGCCAAAGACTTTGTCAGGTAGAATACCTCTAGTTTGGCCCAAAGCGCTTGAGCCGTTGTCTCCCTCGACACCTCCCTCAGAACTTTGTCGCCCA